ACGATTTTCTTAAGAACGGGGAAATTTTTAGGCGAATGCCAATCCTTTACACCGCTCTACTTCCATATCGCAGCTTCCATTTCTTGCCAGTACAGAGCTGAAGTACTTGAAGTTTTCGACCTCTTCGATGGTTGTTTCATTAGGTGGTCAGTTCACCAGCACCAAAAGTTGTACATAGGCTGACTCCGTTGGATATCAGCACAATGTTTTCGTGCCCCTGTATATATCGAGCTTTTTGTTTTTTTTTGTTTTGTCAAAGGTCTACATATTATTTTGACAGTATGTCCTTTAGATAACATTTTATGCCGTATTCTCAAGGATACGTTTTTTAATCATTCTTTTATTGCATATCGAATCCAGTCTGGTCAGGAAAATTTTCGGAGTTCAAGCGTTGGCGCTTGAGAAGATGCGCTGATTTTTACCACCGTATGTGAAACTTTCACATATCATTCCCTCTTGAAATCTACATTGACTGAATTCGAGTCAAACCAAAGGCAAACATGACATGAGGCCTGAAGTTCAGGTCTGGCAGGAATTCGCCTCAAACTGATGTCCTCCTCCCACATTATTAAAGGTCTGTCATGATATCGAAATTGAGATGGTTGCACTGTTGTTGAGCGTTTATGATGGGAAGAATTCACCGTCGACAAGCTAGACTGCTTATTGTTTATTATGCAGGTGGACTACGAGTTTGTAATTGTATATCCTATAGAAAATGGATTAAGTTCTTGAAGATTTTATCTTCTATAACTTCTTAAGCCATATAGTAATTTTCTCTTTTCTCTCTTCCATTTCTTCCTCCTCCTCCCTCCTCTCTTTCTCTTCCTGTTCCATTTTATTTTCGTTTCCAGCCAGTTTCTTTTTTTCCAGTTCTCGTTGTTTCTTTGCATCACTGTTTTCTTTTTCACCTATTGTTTTAGTTTTATTCCCCTTCATCCTCGCCTTTCTTTTCGTTCTGATTTCGTTTCTTTTTCTAGACATGTTACTCTTCCTCTTTTTCCGTGTTAATGACTATACTTCTTAGACGTTTCTCCCCTTTTTTCTTTCTTCCTAAACTTCCTTTCTTTCACCTTTTCGTTCTTCTATTTAAATTTTATTTTTTTTTGCTTTTCTGTCTGTTTTCTCCTCATCCCATCTGCTTCTTGCCTACTTGGTCTTCCTTCGTTTGTCTTTTCTTTTTTCGCTGTTTCACTATCTTCCTTACGTTTTTTGCGTTCCTTGGCTTTATTTTTTTCTCTTGTTTTATTTCTCGTTTTCGTTTCGTTCAACTATTTTCAAATTATCCCTCTACATTTTTCACCTTCATTATTTTTTTCCTGTTTTTTTCCTCCACTTCTTTTTTTCTTCTTCCTTTTCTTCATCTGTTTGTTCTTGTTCTTTATTTCATCTTCCTCATCTTTTTTTCAGTTTCTTCCTTCTGTCCCTCCTTATGTTTAATTTTTTATATTCTTTTTCTCGTTTTTCTTCTAATTCTCCTTTCAGCTCTTTTTCCTCTAACTTCTTCCGTATCTTTCTTTTCCTTTACTTTCTTCCATCTTTTCTTAATATCTTATTTTTTTCCTGTTGAGTTGTTCCTTTTGTTATTGCTCTTCATTCTTTTCTTCCATCTTCCTATTTTTTTCATTTTCATTTTGTTTTTCTTGTTTTTTGTTCGTTTATGAAGAATTTGCATCGTCCTGTGCAGGCTTTAGTAGTCTGGTGATGGGTACATTTTTTATTTACCCTCAGATATTCGACTACGCACTCCATGAGTCTGAGCTCATGTCCTCGTCTTATGAAGCAAATAGGGTCAAAGTAAGCTGACAAAAAGTATCTTTCGTTTTTGCTGTCGCCGTCGCCGCGGTAGAAAAGGCTTCTCTCAATCTATTTTCAAGTGAAACGATCTACAATCTAGATTCAAAACAGTCTGTCAGTGTTCTTCATATGTCAGTGTCCCAGCCCCTTGGTCTGCTTGTTTCTCGCTTGACAAATGGCTTTATCATGAAAGTTCGTTTTACGTGTTTTCAGTAGCATCCTGTTCAACTGCTTTATTCCTCGAAATCAAGATCTCTTAATCTTGCGATGCATCGTATTATAGGCGAGTAAATCTCGGATTTGCATGTTCCAA